AGAACATCTCCAAAATCCTCTCTCTAGTCATCCTGAGGGAAATACAACCTACTGACTTTACAGAAATTCTAGGAAGTATGGTTCCAAAGAGTCAAATCAACTGCGCACGCCCACATGGACTAAGTAAACTCCCATATAAGTAATGTGTTAATAATGACAAACTCTTCCATGAGATCAAAGTTTACAGCTCAAGCTTCTTTAGTCAAGATACTCATCTAAGTACTCATAGCTGGAAAGATGTATTTTGTTTACTGCATAAATACTGAATTAAGGTAAGTTGACTCTCTCAACTTCCTCTTCTTGTTGACTAAATGTAGAAGGCATGAGCTCCTTGTGTTCATAGATAAGTATTAGGGAAACCAGGAGTGCATGTCTGTTTTCAGCCCAGAAAACTGGGAATGAGTATAATTAATAACCTGGTAGCCTGAGCTATCTGTAAGGCAAGGCTTCTCCAGGCTCCTTGGCTCAGTCACTCTCCCTGGTACTTATTTTGAGCATCACTCCTCAGTCAATAGGACCCATCTTTATGGAAACGTCACATGTACTTTGCAAAGAGTTTCAGTGTAAGCATGCCTTAAGCTTTATTGTACATAGGAGACTAAATTAATTATCATCAGGAAATGTCTTTTCCAAACCTGTGCTATGCTTAAACATGCCTAAAATAAATTGCCTGTGTCAGACTCTGAAGTTAGCCCCAGCCCCAGCTACCGAGTTGTGCTGAACCCCATTTCCTTACTCTGCTGGCCCTCGTGTCTTCAGAGACCCTACAACTAAACACCCAAATCCCCCAAACCCCAGCAAAGAATGCCCCAATACTAGTGTAGATCGGAGTGAACTTTTACACTTGGCTCTGTAAATAAACTGCTCTCTGCCAAATCTGACAGCTTGGACCCACAAAGTGGGAGCTAAGGACTAACTCCTGTAAGTAGATGTAATCAAAATATTCAATGAAATAAAGATGACTTTTTGTGGGGTATAAAGACTATCAGAGGTTAATAACTACCAACAGCAGGGCAATGCTAGAGCATGCCAAGCCCATCTGCTCTCTTGATAGTAGAGCCACCTTTTCCTGCAGGGGTAAACATCACTGTCTGCCGTCACAGACCACTTGGCCTAGGAATCCTAAAAAACATCATCTGGTCATTTGTGTTTAGGAAGACCCTTGAAAGCAGGCCAGTTCATGGGAAGCTCCGTGAACACCCTTACTAAGGAGTAAGTCCTTTGCTCCAGTTTTCCATGTCCAAGTACAATGAGCTCCAAGGAGCTGTTCTGAGCCATGCTCCTGTTCAAGGAATGCTGACATAGATCAACAGACATACATTAAGAACCCTTATCAAAGAACAAGTTTGTGCACACCACACACACAAACACACACACACTTGTATTTCTACATCATGATTACATGATGTCAGTTAATAGCCCTCTCAGTGAAGTGTTCACCCTGACCTCCAGCAGATATACATAAGAAAACCCTTCAAGTGTAGCTTATACACTTTATACAACACAGCAGTATTTTTGAAGGAAGGAGCTGATGAGAAGGTTCTGAACTCCCTAAAGAACAGAACTAATTTTAAACACTCGTTCTCTCCATGTTCAATTCTAGAGATGACGAGATACCCACACAAAATTAATGACCCATTTTACTTGATATCCATTTTGTTAATAATTAATATATGTCTTCATACCCCTATCCACAATGAAATATGAAACTGCTTAGAAGAGGAACTTTACATTTAATACTTTTAAATTGAAAGAATACTATCCCAGATATTAAAAAAAAAAAAAGTAAAAGATCATTAAAATACAAATGACAGGAAGAAAAATATCATATCCTTTAGCTGGTTACCAAAACCAAATTATATAAGAACAAAGCACTAGCCCAATGAATAACCACTCAACTTTGATCACTTGACTTCCTACCAATTGTTTCTTTATGCAAAATGAAACAGATAGTCGGGCTTGGTGGCACATGCCTTTAATCCCAGCACTCGGGAGGCAGAGGCAGGCAGATCTCTGTGAGTTCGAGGCCAGCCTGGCCTACAAAGCAAGTTCCAGGACAGGTCCAAAGCAATACAGAGAAGCCCTGTCTCAACACCCACCCCCTCCCCCAAAAAAAAATAAATAGAAAGAAAGAAAAAGAAACAGATTTCTAGTACTAGCCACTCTTTGAATACAAGACCTATTTGTAATATGAAACTGAACGGTAAGTAATTATTTTGTACCCGATCTGATTAATTTGTCAACTTGACATAAGCTCGTGTCATATGGGAACAGGGGTCTCCACTGAAAAATGTCTCCAGCAGTCTGGCCTGTAGACAAGTCTATGAGGCATTTTCTTGATTTATGACTGATTTATGACTGATGTGTGAGGGCCCAGCCTACTACTGTGGGAAATGGCACCCGTAGGCTGCTGGTCCTGGGTTGTACAAAAAAGCAGACTGAGCAAGTCACAGAGAGGAAGGTAGTAAGCAGCATCCGCCTCCATGACCTCTGCTTCACTTCCTGCTTCCAGGTCCCTGCCTAACTACCTTCAGTGATGGGGGTTAAGAAGAAATAAACCCTTTCCTCCTCGGGTTGGATTTGGTCATGGCGTTTATCACAGCAAAATAGAAACCTGACTGCAATACCAAGGCCTAAGAAGTAAAATAAAATTGTCCCAACTGTCTTTCTTTTGAATGGATTAACATAAAAATGTTTTCAAAGTAAGTGGTAACACTTTGGTAACACCTAGTTAATGGTTATAAGAAATAGCAAAGACATTCAATGTTATAAGGAAGCATTTAACTTCACTGAATGTTACAGATCATTTCAAAAGTTAGTTTAAAAACATTTATAACAGTAACAAAAAAAAATTATTTCGAGAGACAGAGGCTGAAGAGGTATCCCAGTGGATACGATGCCTGCCATGCAAGCGAGGGCCTGACTGAGTTCATATCCCCAGAACCATGTAAAAAGCCTGGCGTGGCCGCAGGCACTTGAGCTTCAACTTGAGTGAGAAATCCTGTCTAAAAAATACAGATAGGAAGTGATGTAGCAAAGAAATCCCACATCAACCTCTGGCCTCTACACACGCACACGTCTACACACCTCCATGACTACACTCACACGAACAAGTATGTATACAGCGTGCATGCACACGCGCACACACACTCACCACTAAATAAATAAATGACACATTTAAATAGCCTTTAACATGATCTGTTATGAAGTAATAAGCTATATAAAATAAAAATTATTGAAATCATATTTTACTTTTATCTAGAACCACTTGTTTAGTGACTCAAGTCTTCCTTAAGCTTGTTCTGATTAATGACTAGAAACTGAACCTTCATGTATCAACAGATGAAATGTATTAATAATATGTAACAGATCTTGCTATAGCTTTTGAGCCTTTGTTAATATTACCTTCACACTTTCTAAGTTAAGTAAGTTAAATGTATTCAAAAAGTTCTTATGGCCAGATTAAGTTTCAATATCAAAACACGTATTTTAAAAGCGAACAAACAATACAAAAAGAAACCCAATAACTACATAAAAATTAATCTTGCCCACTTCTCAAGACTCAGCAAGTCATTAAAGAGAAGAAAAGCAATGAGGACAAACAGATTTTGAAGTATAACTGAAAATTCTCATTATATAACTTGGGCTAAAAACTTCAATTTCTGTTAAATGTGGAATTTTTTTGTAGGCAATTGAAAAGAGTATGAATTAAGTGGTAATTATTCATAAGGGAAAGTAGTTCGGGGTGGGAGAGATAGCTTAGTGATTTAGTGCACTTGCTGCTCTTGGGGTTGGGTTCCCAGCACCACATGCTAGCTCACAGCTGTCTGCAACTCTAGCACCAAGGGATCTGACACCCTCTCCTGAATTCTTTGTGTATCAGGCATGCATGTGGTACACACAAAAATACGTAGGAAAAACACTCATACACATAAAATAAACCTAAAAAAGGGACAAGTTGTTCCCAAGAATTTAACTGACTGACTTAAATTTATTGTTGTTTATTACAGGAAAAAAATCGGAGCATCTGCACACCCTCAATACTACATGGAAAGCTGAATAATCCTGTTCTTGGCTTCTGGAATTCGCTTCTAGGTGTGCTCTCTTGAGCTGAAACCCTATGTGGTGGCCCAGAAGCACCCCCCAACACACACACACACACACACACACACACACACACCGTTTCTCACTGGCAACTACAGCCAGAGCTGGGGTGGGTCAGTTTGTACGTAGAAACCTTATTTTATAGTGACTGTGTTCTACGCTTGAGCTTCCTATCCTTTTTAAGGCTTTCTCTATTGAAAATTATGGCATGCTATACAGAAAAATTTTAACAAGGCAAAGCCTGACATGTAGTAGGATATTTCAATTCATGGGCTTTATTCCAATTCAAGCATAAGAGCCCTTGTTCTGTAAAAAACTGTCAAAGCAGAATTTCAATGTGATTACAATCCAGATCTTCACTTTCAATGCTGGCCAAGTTCAGCACCTATATAGGATGTCTTGAGAACGGAAGCCTGGGTTCAACAAACAGTGCAATAAAATGGCTATCTCAAACACAATCCCATAGTGACACACACGGATATAGTTCTGCAGTAATTTCTACTAAATCTATTATGACGTAACTGAATACTGTGAAGAGGGACCCTTATATGCTGACATACAAATTAAGATACAGAGGACAAGACTGTTACACTACTACCCAAAAGTTTTAAAACCAGTTACAGCAAATTAAGTACTGTGAACACAAACACTGTGTTTTCTCTCCAGAGGATACGTATATGACATTTAATAAGTCAAAGATTAGTAACCATAGATTATCTGTAATTTAATAAAAAAAAAATAACATGGTAATTTCCTAATTTTTCTCACTGTAAAGCACACAGATTTCTGCTGTACTCACTTATCCAGGATCAATAAGCTGATAGTGTTCAAGAACAGGCATACTACACATATTCATTAACTGTTCTCTCTCCAAAACTACAGGTATAAATACTTACTTATCAAAGCTATCGCTATTTTTGATGAAGCTCTCCAGCTTTTCCTTGGCATACTCCACCACATCTGAATGAAGTTCAATCCCATGATTTATTCCAAAAGGACCTGTAATTGCAGCAGCATTCTTTTTTTACAAAAATATTAATGATGAATCCCCACAGTTCTAATATCTGTGCACTTATCTACCTAGTAGCATTAAGAGTCCAAGTAACATGCAAACCTGTACGAGCTGGATTGTGTTGAATACAAACCTGCTTAAATTGCTTCAATGTAGTAATGGAGAGGGGTAGAATTTACCTTTTCTGGGAAGAGGAAGGGGGAAGCAAGCACAGAAAAGAGAGAGAAATTATAATGTTGAAATGTACAGGCAGGACACTATGGTCATATAATCCCATAACCCCACGTTTAAGGAAGGGGTGGTGTTGTAGTTCTGAAACTGGAATCAGACCTTGCAGCTCTCTGTACCTCCAGCCCACTGCTTTGCTAACTAGCTTATTTATTATGCACCCCCGGTTAGCCTCTAACTTTGATTCTTCTGCCTCCACTTCCTGAGTAGCAAGGGGAAGTATGTGTGCAGCGCAAGTTTGAATCTTTACCCAAGTCTTCACTTAACCTTTATTCAAACTCTGGTGGCTCTTGGATGGGCAAGTAGAGGAGTTCCAGAAGCTTCATGCTTTTCCCAAGTTATTTTTACACATGATGATGGCTGGAGAGACCTCCCGAGGAAAGGGCTGGCCCCAATGATACTTATTCAATGAGATCTAGGACTTGGCATTTTATAAAGTTACTACTACTCATCCTGTAGTGTTCCCACTACCCTCACAGAGGAAACCTTGTTTGAAGCTGATGATAAAAGTTCTCTTTATCGTCTGAAATGGAGCCAGACAGGCCTTATGCTCTACAGCCTTGTACTGTAATCTGAGAGGTTTCCTGTGGGGGTTGTGCTTTCTTCTTGCTGTTGTTTTGGAGACAGCGTCTATGTAGTTCCAACTATCTATCCATGGATTTAGAGCTTTTCCTGCCTCTGCCTCTGCCTCTGCGGTGCTGGGATTAAAGGTGTGTGCTACTGTGCCCAAATTATTAACTTTCCTTAAGGAATCTGTAACTGGAAGTGTCCTCTATGGTCTATCACAACACAATCCATATCAGACTTGTCTCTATTAACCACTAAAAACTTTAGTAATAAGAAAAAGACAACTACAAATGATCAAATTTATATGTTCCTATCCTAGAGTATAAAATAACTGAAACAAAATACTTTAACCTAAGTATCAAATGCATATAATACTTTCTCATGCTAGATTGCCATAACATTATTTTTACTTGTTTAAAAAAAAATGGATTTCTACCTACAGAATGTATTTAGGCACGAAAATTCAATCAAAACAGAATTTGACTCAGCAAACATAAGATGGACTGACTTCCTTTTTTTCTAGTGGGGGGGTTGTTTTGTTTTGGGGGATGAGAGGAGATGCTGACACAAGGCTGGACGTGAAGTCCCAGTTGGCACTGAACTGTTATGCAATGGAGAATGACCCATGAGCTGGTACTGTCACTACCTCTCAAGTAATGGGACTACATCGCCATGTCAATTAACCTGAAAATACTATGCTTTTAAAAGTGAAGAGATACTAAGCACTTCTTTTCTGATTCTTATAAACTGGTAAGCTTTCATCTGAAAAATGAAACATCTGTTCAACATCATTTAATACTTCCTAATACTATAAACAGTAAACTGAAGATTCATTTAAAAAGCAAAAACTTCCTCCTAAAATTATTCATAGAATCCTCTACATGGTAATGTCACTCTTTAACACATACTCGATCTGAGCATCTTGAGAAGTTCAGTTTCCAAAGGAATGAATACATGTGGGAGAAAGGTCAGCCTGAAAGCTCAGAAGGAAGTCAAGTAGATAAAGAAGTATATAATGCATGAAAATGAGCTTGTGCAATCTGTACAATAAAATAATAATAACATGCGCATTGGCTTTAAAGCTACTTTAAGTTAAAGCTGCCTTGTAGACAGTCACGTGTAATTGAACCTGGTGAGAAGAAAAGTGTTGGCTGCTGGTGTCCTCCACCTGTCTTTAGTAGTTGAAATTGTTTGAAAGTAGTCTTCGCCTTCCTTGCTCTCCTGATCTGTTAGATATGGAAGGGCTTACATCAGCCACTTGTTTCTTCCAAGTACCATTTCCATTTTTAACTTGAAACATTATTAAAAGTGAAAAGATTACTATCATACTACAACCACTTACATAGTAATGCATAGTAGGGAAAGCATTGTTCCACCAAGTTAATCTTGTTTTGCTTTTACTTTTTATGACCCACTAAGGTAAAATCTAAAGGAAATGTACTAGTGTTAAGATTTTCATATTTTCCATACATTGTATGCAAAAGATTATGGCTGCATACATAAGTCATGAACAAAAATATTTGCTGGCATTCTATAGTTCATGTAAGACCAAATGCAAAGGTGAAGAATCTGAAAATGAGGGTTCCCATTCTGACCTCAAGCTGCCTAACTTACACAAGAGTCTAGACCTGAGACTAGGTCAAAAGCACAAAGACAGGCTGCTCCTCAGTTAAAGTTATACATCTTCCTATATAAATAAACACAACCTCAGTTTACATAATGTTACTTGTATGCATGTTTTCAGAATTGAGCATTTGGTACTAAATAACCAATTGGTGTACTTTTCCCTGGGGAAGACTATTTCTCCTACTTTCAGCATTCTTAAGGAAAAAAATTTATTTATTTTTATTTTATGTGAATTTCTCTTTTGCCTGTATGTACATCTGTGTGAGAGTGTCAGATCCCATGAAGCTAGACAGTACTGAGATGCCATGTGAGTAATGGAAATGAACACAGGTCTTCCGGAAAGAGTCAGTGTTCTTGGCCACTGAGCCATCTCTCCAACCCCATCTTAAGGAAATTTCTTAACGTTTCCTCACCCAACTTGTTTTTCATATCTAAAAGACAGTTAATAATTTCAGGAGTAGAGGGTGGGATGGTCCAGCTGTAACTCCAACACTCAACAGATTGTGGCAACAAGATAAAGTTTAAAGCCTCAACTACTTAGCAAACCATACAAAAAAAGGTATTTTGTTTGATTTTATAACACCATATTAAGGACTGTTTTCACAAACAAAACAAATATACAGAGAATACATTATTAATAGCTAATACAAACATGTTTTAAAATGGAACTGTTTAGTTTTAAAGTAACATGGAGCATATCTTTATCAACTAATAATCAAGAAATCATTAAAACTGAAGTATATTTAGATGATAAATTAATAAAACCAGGCACCCCTTTAATCCAAGCTCTCAGGAGGCAGAGGCATCTGTGAGTTTGAGGCCAGCCTGGTCTACAGAGTGAGTTCCAAGACAGCCATCCACACGTGCTGCTTTTGCACAGAACCCAGGTTCAGTTCCCAGCACCCAGGATGAGCCAATTCTCAACCCCTGTAACTCAAGCTCCAAGGAGATCTGATACCTCTGGCCTGCACAGGAACCTGTACTCTCATACACATACTCAGAGGCCAACACACACACACACACACACACACACACACACACACACACACGGTTAAGAACAATGAAAAAAAAAATAAAAGGCAGGCTGAAATAGCAATGTTACTACATTCACAGAATCACTCTGACTAAACATGTAAAGTTGTCATGAGCGTGGGATGGTGCTGACAGTCAGAACTCATCCGTCATGTCTTCAGAAAGAGAACCACGAGAAAATAACACAGGAAACCATGAAGGCACCGCCAGCTGCTTCTGAAAGAGAACTGAAAGATGTAGGGTAGGAAGGCGCAGCTCATCACTGTGCACTGTTAAATGTGTTTTGCCCCATATGCAAGCATAGCCTACCAAAAAAAGCAACAGGATGGGGCTGAGAAGATGGTTAACAGGCAATGTATTTGCTGTGCAAGTGTGGGAAACCACTTCTGAGTCCCCAGAACCACGTAAGTCCGGGCTCCTCCGCTTTTCTGCATTTCTAGTGTTCCTGCTGAAGGTGTAAGGCAGAGCAAGAACCCCAGGAGCTCACAGGCCAACTATGCGTCAGTGAACAAGAGAGATCCCATCTCAACAATGTGGAATGGCGAAGATCAACACCTGAGGTCGTCTGACCACTACAAGCAAGCCATGGTGTGCATGCACCTCACCTCACCCCACCCTCGCACAAAATGTTAAAGTAGCACATGGTTCAAGGTCATCTTCAGCTATAAGCCAAGGCCAACACGGGTTACATGACATCCTGCCACAGAGGAAAGGAAGGCAAGGATAAAAGGAATGGGAGCCTAAGTTCAGATTTTTAAAAAAGTATTACCATATACAAGCACAACAGTACAAGTTGCCAATGGGGAAAAATGAAACAGAACATCAGATGAAATGTGATTGTGATTTTGTATTCAATACATCTTTACGTTATTTATAAACATAAGATAAGGAAGAAAGATTTCTATGAAACAATGCTTCGTTTCCAAATATACAGTTTTAAAGAGAAAATACTAACAGTTGATGCAACTTTTAACAATTAACTTTTAAAGAGAAAATAGTAAGAGTAACTTTATTAAAACAAATAAGAGCTACTAAGAAATATCTAGGTATTCTAAATATTAGAAATTACGTTTAAGACTGACTAAAGCTCATTTACCATAAATACCAAATATAACAAAATTCTAGTGCAATAAAATCTAATGCTCAACCACCTTAACAACTATATCTAGCCCTAACCAGCTCATTTATGATATCTAGCCCTAACCAGCTCATTTATGCGTCCCTTAGTCAGTAACTGACTCATACATGTAAGGGTCAGTAACACTAGGTACAATGCAGTAACTATTTTCTATGTCCCCCTGTGTCACCTTCGTGTGATATTCCACAGTTGGACTGACGATGAGGTGTGGTGTATAGACACCTGCCTGAGAGCCATCAAGGAAACCCAAAAGCTTTATACTACACAAGGGAAACCCACTCTGCTATTAGCCTTTTCTAGAAAGCTAATTCATGAAACACAGCCCAGACAAAAGGACTTCCTAACACAGGCCTGGAAGAACAGGAGGAAGGAAATGGTCAGACCTACAAGTTCAGC